TGTCAAGGTCTATGGAGTCGACGCAGGGCAGCAGCTTCGTCTCTTCGGGGATGCCGAGCAGCGGAGTCTGGCTGGGAGTCTTCGTCCTGGTGGCGATGGTATTCAGCCCCTTAGAGGCTGCTTCAAAACATCTCCTCGTGACTTCAATGTCTCTATGGAGTCGATGCGGGGCAGCGGCTTCGTCTCTTCGGTGCTGCTAAACAGAGAAGTCTGGCTGGGAGTCTTCGTTCTGGTGGCGATGGTATTCAGCCCCTTGGAGGCTGCTTCAAAACATCTCCTCGCGACTTCAATGTCTCCATGTAGAGTCGCCACGAGACCCTTCGAAGTATAGTATTTCATCTTCAAGTACATTGTTGAGGGAACAACCACCAATTCGGCCAGAGTTGGTCGACCGAAGATGCACTGGTATAGCGGCGGGCAATCGATGACCAGGAATTGGACCTTGATTGACCTGGTCGTTTCAGCGGACCCAAAATTTACAATCATCTCTATGTAACCCCAGGGCTTCATCACCGACCCATTGAAACCCTGCAGATCGGAGCCTACGTATGGTGTCAAATGCGATTCGTCCAGCTGGAGGGTGGAAAACAGTTAAGAATACATAATATCAACTTAGCTGCTTTGGTCGACGAGGATTCGTCAGACGTCAAAATTTTCCATCTGGCTCTTACAAGCAGAGGGATGTTGGCGTTGAGGGATCCACCGAGGAGCTCCTCACGGTAGAAGCAGATAGGAACAGACTCTTCCCGGACCCTATCGACCTTCTTGGATTCCTGGACGTCTTGTCGAGGAGCGTCCTTCCGTTTGCCGAATTGCTTCAAATGTCTGTCCCTGATGAGTATTTATATGTCATCCTTCAAGTGGATGCAGTCGTCGGTCATATGGTCGTGGCTCTTGTGGAACCGGTAATATTTCGACTTGTCCGTGTTTGGTTTGGATGGTATCTGCTTCAGGAACCAAACCTCCGCATGCCAGAATTCTGAGTTGGCACATTCAGAAAGGATCTTTTCCCTTGAAACTGTTAGGGGAGTGTACTCGTGGAACCAGTCGGAGGGCCCTTTGTTGTCCCGGGGCTCTCGGGGACGGTCTCCGCGCCTTCTATCTCCTCGACGAGATATCGAGGGCTCGTCAAATCTGGAGATCGGGAATTCTACTAGTGCCTCGAATCTCGAGAAAACCTGGAGGCCTCCTTCTCTTCGTACTGAATGTACGCTTGTGCCTTAAGGAGAAAAGCATCTGACGTTGTTAGGGGCTGGATGCCCATAGCTTTAGCAAATTCAGTGCGGGGACGGAGCCCGCGCTCAAGCAGAAACTTTTTCATGTCATCAGTCGTACAGACCTGAACGGCCTCCTTATTGAACCTTTCGATGTAGGCTCGCAGGGGTTCATCTCTCCCTTGAATGATGGCCTCAAGGGAGGCTTCGGTATTCGGATGGCGGCGGGAAGTTGTGAAGTGTCTGGAGAACATTCTCCCCAGTTGCCTCCATGAGGTGATGGAATCATCGGAGAGTCTTTTGTACCAGGTCATCGCCCCCTTCTTGAGTATGGTCGGGAATAACCTGCATTTGATGGCGCCCCAGACGCCATGTAATCGAGTAGCACATCGATATTTTCGATGTGTTCGTTGGGGTCCGTTGTACTGTCGTATGTGCCTAGAGAAGGGGGTTTCTTCAGTCCCTTCGGCAGGCACATGGCCATAATCTCCTGGGACAAAGGGCCGCGAGGCTCGTCGGCACTGCTGATGGTGGTCCAAGACGAGGACTGGGGGTCCCGTCTGTATGTAGAATGACAGTCTCGATGGGGAGACGAGGTTCGTGCTCGGCCCTTGGATCTGGGCGGGGGCGAACGTTGGGACTCTGCTTGGTAGTTTTTTCTAGTCCTCTTGGGTCGCGGGGAATGCTGGTTCTGAGGAGAGACCGCGCTTTTTGATGGTCAGGGTCTCTGGCTCCAGAGGTGTCTGACGGTTTCTTTCGCACCGGGGAGGAGGACTTTGTGGTCGTTGACGTTATTTCCTCGATGGAGGGGATCTTGGACGAATGAATTCTTCTAAGGCTCCAATCCTCGCGCTCTGATTGAGGATTAGGAGGTTTGTCTTGTTGAGAACCTCGAGGAGGGCATCCATAGTCGGATCGGCGCAGGGCGGAACTGGAACTGGAAGGTGTTTCGGAACAAGTGAGACCTCGTTGGGGTCTGCGCGAATAGGGGATGGAGAAGCTGTGGCTCCGTCCCTATGTCGGAGGACGTCGCCGCCATGAGAGGTGGTGGCTCCATCAGGATCAATCTTGCTGACGAGGAGGAAAGTAGAGTTGCGAGCATTTTGAAGAACTATTTTGGTCTCGTGTCTACGAAAGGAGAAAAGACGGGGATAACAAGTTTTCCACAGACGGCGCCACTGATCTTGACGGCTATCAGAACCTGAAGTGGGCCAAAGACAAATGTCTGTGATGTTGGGTGAGAGAGGAGGAGAAGGTGTACCTGCAAGGCACTTCGATGCGAAAGTAAGAATCGGACAAGAGAGATAACAAGTTGGAGTGGCATAAAAGTAAATGCTCCCACCAAATTGGATGAACATAGGCAATTGGGCCGTTCTAAGAGCAAAAGTGGATTGGACCATGCCTAACTATTGGGGCAGTTCAAAACAATTATTATGGTTGGTTCAAATCGCCTACTGATTTTTTATAGTGAATGATTTTAATGAAATATTTTATTTTTTAAGGGACGGTATTCACGGTTGGTGCCATTTGTAATTCACTTGGGATATCCTAATACACCATTGAATATAATATTGCTCATTAAAAAAACTAGAAACTGACTTTAAAAAAAAAATCAACTTGAAAATTGAAATGTTTTCAATACTAACCAATAACAAATTAAAGACTACTAACATGTTTAAACATCAAATTAACACCAACTTATTTTTATTCTATTCAAAGAACAAGCCAATACAAGCATTACAATTTAAATTACTCCATACAAAACTTCTTAAACCCTTTACTTATGACATGATAAAATGAAATTAAGACTTGTTCAAACTTTATTACATAATATTATTCCCATCAATTTAAAATATTTAGTTTCCCAAAAGGATTTTATTAATACACCAAATTCCCTAAATATCTTGAAAACCTTCTTACTGAGGTGGAGGATTACTCTGAGGAGTCTTGTGCAATTTGCTCACATCATACCCTTGAAGAACAACTTTCTGAACAACTTGATTATATATTTCATCATTCAAATGATTCTCTCTGCGTTCACAACCTTCTTTCGTAGGGTCTTGTGAGTCTGATTTCGTCACGATAGTATTTGAATGTGGGTTCAGTTAGTGCATATCCTGCGTTCACAACCTTCTTCCGTAGGGTCTTGTCTTTGCGAAGGAGTTGCGTATACATTGGAAAAGAAGAAGGCAACACGTCTTAACCGACCGTGTTGTGCATGGGGCAAGGCCAAGTCTTCAATATATGACTTGGTTTAGGTCTGTCACGACATCTCAGCCTTTCCTGTCCCAGCCAACCTATTTGGCCGACCCAAGGGAACGCGATTCTTCGTCAAACACACAGCAACAGTTCAATGCCCGAAATCGGCCTTACGAAAACCCACACATGCCAACAAATACCCCCTATCAACAACAACATCCTTACATGCCACCCACCCAGTCCCAGCCTCAACCACCATATCATTATAGCCCTGATACGTCTTTTGAGCATATCCCCTCCACCTATAGCCCTGATACGTCTTTTGACCCTACCCCCTCCAACTACCCCACCAACTACCCATCCAACTACCCCTCCAACTATCCACTATTTGACTACCACACCCCACAACAACCAACACACCTAGACCAACCCAATTCCATGTACACATTCGGACAACCATACCATCCATACTCCACCCAACCTCCCCGTCAATCCTTCGAAAACATGGGCATTGGGCTTGACTACGGCAGCGCCATTGACAGTGGACCTCCCGGCTATTGGGGTTAAATGATGCAAAATCTATCTGATACGTCGGGGCCGTCCCAACAACATCCTCCTCCACAACTCAACACACAACGGCCCGACACACCACAACAACCTCGTCGCAACCCGCATCCTCCACAGTGTGGCACCGGTGGTCGCTTGGATAGAGCCGACCATTCGTTTTTTTTTGTCGTTGTAATTTTCATTATATTGTAAATTAATATATTTTAATATTTTTTACAATTCTATTTTATTCTAAGGTTATTTAAATTTCAATTCATTATGCAAAAACAAACAACATAATTTACTGACAAATATTTATTAATAAATAATTAAAATATTTATAAATTTAATAATAAACTTAATATATTTAATAGGTAATTAAAATATTTATTAAAATATTTATAAATTTAATAATAAACTTAATGTTTATTAATATTTATTTAAAAAGAATAAACTTAGAGAATATTTATTAGAAGTTACAATTAAAATTAAATTAAAAGAATAATTACAATTAAAAAATAACAGAAAAAGCAAAACGCTAGTTGGAATTGGCCTATGTCGCCAATCGGTCTGGCAAATTCATTTTACGACCCAATTCGTTTTGCCTGTATCGCCAATCTGTCTGGCGAATTAGTTCCATGCCATTTTCATTTTTTTGCCACTTTCACCAATTCATCTGGCAACTGTTTGTTGGATGATAGTTGGTTTGATAATTTATTTGTTTGTTGGATGATATTTGCATTTATATGGTAATTTGTTTGCAATAGATGGCTAGTTTAAAAAAAAAATCACTAACATGTTTAAACATCAAATTAACACCAACTTATTTTTATTTTATTGAAAGAACAAGCCAATACAAGCATTACAATTTAAATTGCTCCATACAAGACTTCTTAAACCCTTTACTTATGACATGATAAAATGAAATTAAGACTTGTTCAAACTTTATTACATAATATTATTCCCATCAATTTAAAATATTTAGTTTTCCAAAAGGATTTTATTAATACACCAAATTCCCTAAATATCTTGAAAACCTTCTCACTGAGGTGGAGGATTACTCTGAGGAGTCTTGTGCAATTTGCTCACATCATACCCTTGAAGAACAGCTTTCTGAACAACTTGGTTATAGATTTCATCATTCAAATGATTCTCTCTGCATAGTATCTATAAAACCAAAATAATGAATGTTATGACATGAAGGAATACTATATAGCATAGTATATTAATATACACAAAACTATAAAAAGAAAGTAGAAGGTAGTTAGGGTTAGGGTTTGTTACCCAAAGAAATGCCCTAGTAGGTTCACCAATGAGAGCATAGTGATAATATGGATCAAGGTACAAAATCCAGTAATTTCCAAGGACAGGGATGATTGGCAAGAATGGAGGAACAGTGAATTTGACCTTGAGTTTGGCTTCATCGCTATTAGGGTCAGCCTTATAAGCAGTTCCTTCAATGGAGTTTCTTTTCCCATCATTCCATGTCTCATTGAGAACATGAACAGTTCCATCATTGTTTAGAGTGTAGGTGGCTCTAGTGTTCACGCCATTTGCAGGCTGAAAAAAGGAAGGAAAAGACGCAATCTCGTACCAACGACCCATGTATCTCTTTAGGTCTACACCCTTCATAACCTCTGGCACAGATTCTATGCTGTACGCCATTGTTTGTTGTGCTTGTGGGTTCAGAGAACAGATAGATTAATTTTTATAGGTGGAAATTGATTGTGAATAAAAGTTAAGAATGTGAGAATTGATTGTGAATATGCATGGATTCAATGTCTTATTCAATTATTGCCAAAAAAATAATGTGTCATTCAACTAAAAATTCAAAGTGGGATTAATATAATAAATGTGAGAATTGACTCTGAATAAAAGTTCTGAATGATAGAATTGATTTTGAATAAAGTGGGATAAAAAATTCACAATGAATATGTATGAATCATGGACTCAATGCCTCATTCAATTAAAAATTCAAACTGGGATTCTTAAAAAGATGAAATTTCAAAACAAATTAAGAAAAAGAATTTAAAATAGATGTAAAACAATTAAACGTTCAACAAAGTAAAACAATTGATATAGAAAAAAGCTATATAATTATAAAAAAACAATTACAAAAATATTTCTAGTTTAAAGAATATATTATTTTCAAATAAATAGTTCTAAGATCACGTAAAATATATAAAGTTCAACAGATCCCTTAAAGAGCTTTTTTTTAAAAATATATTTAAAAAAATATTATTATTATTAAAAAATAAATTTAAAATATTCTATTTTTTTAATAATAATCTCTAAAGTTTACAATCTCACCATGAATATGCGGATTCTCAAAAAGATAAATTTTCAAAACAAATTAAGAAAATAAAAAACTAAAATAGATGTAAAACATTTAAATATTTAACAAGGTAAAACAATTGATATAGAAAAAAAAATATATTTAATTTATAATCAAACTATTACAAAAAAATTTCTAGTTTAAAAATTATATATATTTTGAAACAAAAGGTTCAAAGATTGGGAAAAATAAAATAGATGTAAAACATTTAAATATTCAAAAAAGTAAAACAATTGATATAGAAAAAAACTACATAATTATAATAAAACTTTTACAAAAATATCTCTAGCTTAAAGAATATATTTTTTCAACTAATAATTCAAAGATAACGTAAAATATATAAAACTTAAAAGATTCCTTTGAGATCTATAAATAAGTATTAAAAAAATTAATTTAAAACATTCTATTTCTTTTATAATAACCTTTAGAGTTTAAAATCTCACCGAGAGTATGCACGAATTCTTAAATGGATGAATTTTCAACACAAACTAAGAAAAAAATTAAAATACATGTAAAACACTTAAATATCAACAAGGTAAAACAGTTGATATAGAAAAAACTATTTAATTTATAATGAAACTATTACAAAAATATTTCTAGTTTAAAAGTTATATATTTTTTTAAACCAATAGTTCAAAGATTACGGAAAATAAAATAAAATAAATTAAAATAAATGTACAATTGATATAGATAAAAAAAACTTTATATAATTATAATAAAACTTATTACAAATATATTTCTAGTTTAAAGAATATATTCTTTTCAAACATCACGTAAAAATATATAAAAATCAAAAGATTCCTTAGAGAGCTCTTTAAGAAATTTTTTTTTAAAAGTATTAAAAATTAATTTAAAACGTTCTATTTTTTTCATAATAATCAATCTAACCATGAATATGCACGGATTAAGATAAATTTTTAAAACAAATTAAGGAAAAAAAATTAAAATAGATGTAAAACATTTAAATATCCAACAAGATAAAAAACTGATATATAATAAAACTATTAGAAATACTTTTTAATTTAAAAATTACTTTTTTTCAAAGATTAGGTAAAATAAATAAAAAATAGATGTAAAACATTTAAATAATCAACAAGGTAAAACAATTGATATAGAAAAAAAACTATCGAATTTATAATTGTTGTGAAACGATGTCGTCAATAATAGAACAAAGTTATGTGCTGAAGATTGAGTTTCTTGAACAAACACAAGAAATCCTATTAGATTTTACGAAAGAGAGAAAAGAATGAAACAGAAAATAAGAATTAGTTAAAACTATTTTACTATTCACTTTCTCAATAAGAGTTTAAAGATTACAAGTGAATAACAACTGTTAATATATCTCAACAATCTAAGAGAACTAGTTTATTTATAAATTACTAAGCTAACTTAACAATTGGGCTTACAAGCAAGTCTTAATTTGACATGCTAACTTAAACACAAAGCTAACATATTTCGACAACATGCTTAAACAGACTTCGACTACAACATGCACAACTCATGTCGAACCATGAAGTTATCCTTGTCGACATTAAAGTTCGATCCAAATACCATAAATCTCCACCTTGGGACAAACTCTATACTAACAAGGAACAAAATAGCTTTCATCATGCAACTTTATCAACTGCATACAGTGGAAAAACTTGCTACTTGACAATGTCTTGGCGATCATATCAGCAGCATTGTCATCAATCAAAACCTCCATCACTTGGACTTCTCCACGCTTGATGTGTTTGGTTCGTCGATGTGTTTGGTTCACTCATGATAGGCTGAATTCTCTGATAGGTGTCACTACTAGAAATATAGTATTTAGCCTCGGCCATTTATCGACACTATAAGGCAAAAAATCGCCGCTACTAGCCAATTAGCGTCGGTGTCGGGGAAAGGCTAAAACGATCGAAGCTAACATATAGCTTTGGCCAAAAAGAGTCGTGTCTACAGTAGCCTCGATTTAGTTGTGTCTACGTTAGCCTCGGTTTAGCCGTGTCTACGTTAGCCTTGGTTAAGCCGTGTCAAAAAACAAAAAATAGCCAGGGCCTGACCGAGGCTAAAGTCAAACTCCATAAGTCAACATAATATTTAGCCTTGGGCCTGGTCGAGGCTAAAGGAACATTTTGCCTCGATTTATTTGAGGCTAAGTTCAAACTTTATAAGTCAACAAAATATTTAACTTTGGCTTAACCGGGGCTAAAGTCAAATTGTAAAAGTCAACAAAATTATGTCTGCTTTCCAATTGTATAATTTATACATGCTGACCATGTTTTCCAATAATGACAATTATGTCATGTCGTGTTCTCCTTCAATCAATTTATCAAGATCATAAATAATTTATCAAAACATATAACACATATGAAGTAAGAGTTATCAAAATATTACATAGATTGAAACAACAACAAAAAAAGTAGTCATAGCTACAACAAAAAACAGCCCCAAAAACTCGAAATACATTGAAAATCATGTCCAAATTTTTTTTTCATCCGAGACTACTTCTACTAACACTGCATGATCAATCTTCACTTAATGATTGGTCATCTAAATCATCATCATAGTAAGGATTTGACGATCGAATGACAACACTAGCAGATTGACCATTTGTAGCGTCAAGCTTCTGCATGATAAATGCCTCCAAAGCATTCAGTTCAGACTCCATCTTCTTAGCAAACTCATTAGACGCTTGATATTGTTCTGTTGCCTTCCGAGCAATCTCATTTGACGCCTGAATAGCTTTGGTAGCCTCTTCGAGTCGAACTAATGTAGCTGAAGCCAATTGTCCAACTCTAATTCTAGATGCTCTCTCTGATTCAAAGGATGTCCCAAACATAAATCGGCAGGAATTTTGAGGTTGTTGGATAAAGGATGTACATCCATGCTTCAGATTGATAGCTAAATCCATTGTTCCATAAACCCGATCACGACTACGACCCCCAGCAGCATCTGTTCATAATTTAAAAACGGTCCCTCCATCTAACCTCTCGACATCATCTCCAGCTTTTTCCTTAAAAGTGGACTGTAAAACAGAAAAAGGAGTCATTTCTAAATATAGGATTCTTATTGTGCCTGCATGAGTTATACAAGAGTTATTGTGCCTGCATGAGTTAGTACAACATTTCAATAATTAATGACTTTACTAAAATTTCAAGTTATTGCAACTTTGACTCATACAAATCATTAAAGAAAAACATAGGTAATGAATCAATGCCTTGGATCTCAAACTCATGGAGTTTCTCTCCACAACAATCCTTCTCTTATTTCTGTTTCCTTACTCAGTCATCTGTCAACAGTTATACCTTAACACAACTGTCACTGATTGCTCAGACAACCCTTCAGCACCAAAAGGATACCTATGCAATGCTCCTCAACGGTCATCTTCATGCAATTCATTCTTAGTTTTTAGGTTCAAACCTCCTTATGACAATCCTATAACTATTGCATACCTTCTTGGTTTTGAAGCATCAACCATTGCTTCAATCAACAACATCTCAACAGATACCAAACTTCCTTCTAAAAAAACATTCGTTGTCCCTACCCTTTGTTCATGTTTTGGAAATATCTACCAACATAACACCCCTTACACTGTCAAAAAAGGTGATACCTACTTTCAATTGGTAAATGAAACTTACTAAAGCCTCACAACATGTCAGGCTTTAACAGGTCAGAATTACTATGCTTCTGTCAACATTGCAATTGGTGTTGAGCTCACAGTTCCTAATTTAAAAACGGTCCCTCCATCTAACCTCTCGACATCAATTGAAATTAAGTTCAAATATAACCAAGGATTCTTATTTATTTGTTTTTGGTAGGAATACAACAATTGAAATTAAGTTCATAATTAATTAAAACTTACGTATGTAGACTCAACACGATGATCAACCCATGCTCCACTTTTCCTCTTATGGGTCTTTAAAAATAACTCATCAGGGTGTACATCCCTTTGAAGTTCTTGGGTTTACAAATATAAATTAAATTAAATTTGATAGTATAAATAATTAAAGATTGAAATAAAAATCGACTTTATTACTTACAAGCTCAAGCGCTACATCAACATGAGTCTTACGACCTGAGGTGTGGATTGTTCCTCCTCTTGCTGAACTTCGATTGACCTTGTTTTGAAAGGACAATTTCAAGAACGAATCACCCTTCCAAGAAGTTTCAAGCTCATTCCAGGCATCCTCACCAATCCATGAAGGACGGGTCCCTTTTAACCTCACCTTCCTCATTATGTCATTTAGTCGAATGGCTGCCTTTGAATAAAAGGCTTTCCTGACAAACATCTCATATTAAGGATTCCATGAAACCTTGTCCTGAAAATGATTAAAATAGTATAAAATAT